AGCCTGCTAGATAAGCTTTCCCTTTATTTTTCAGCTACACTGTTTCTTTTTCCTGTTCTAATGCCAGCAATTTTGCAGTATTTGTTATTCCTACTATAGGATGTTTTAAGAATCTGGTGGAGGCCATGAACATGCTACTTTTCCAGAACATGCAACATACAGAGACCTAAATAATCGCTGAAGTTACCATGTTTTTTTACTAGTTCTCTGATTTAAATACTCAGTAGCGTCTCCACTCCCTGTCCCTTTTTTTTGAGTGCCTTATGTTGACACCACACAAGTGGTGTCTTAGGCTTGTATACTTTTCCCCTGCATTAATAAAAATCATGGAGAACTTGGTGAAACTTAAGTTATACTTCACTGGATATCTTTGTTCATCAGCTAGAATATTTTTTTTTCAGATTTTTGGTTGGGAGCAGTGGTGAACATAGAATCATAGAATCATTTAGGTTGGAAAAGACCCTTGGGACATGTGTGAGCTGTGGTAGCAGGGGCCAAACGCTGCATTCTGGTTACATATCCAGGAACAGAAGCAGATAATAAGATTTAAAAAGAATAATAGTGAGAGAAATATGAAATTCATACTAGTAAATGAAGCCTGTGTCTGTGTAGGGGAGTATTGCAATAGCTGTTTCTAGATAAATAGGATTTACTGTTACTGTGTGGCTGTGGTTTAGGTGCTTCATTTTGCTCCGGAAATAAGAAGGTAATGTACTTGCTGTCCACAGGATGCAGCTCTCTGGAGATGCCTGTGTGCAGCAGCTGCAGTTGTGGGGTGTCGGGAGATGCTGCATATTTGGCCCGGGGCACAGAACAGACTGACTGAAGTCCAAGTGCATCAACATGGTGGAAAATGAGGCTCAGTTAACATCTCCCTGAATTTCAGAACTTGGGCATATTTGTTACAGCGTTTCATTTTCCTTGTCACAAAGCCTGTGAGTCTTTCTAAAATACCTTGATGAATTCCACTTTTGTTCTGGGAACGGATTGTATTAGTGTGACTTATTACCATAATGTCACATCACTTGCTAACTTTTCTACTGCTAACTCTTTTCTCCTGACTGCTTGTCAGTTCATTACTGGCTTTGTATCAGCGGGAGAACAGTTTTACTGAAAAAAAAAAAAATTGGACAGAAAAAATGTACCCGTGGAATTTCTTGCCACGTTGAACAGCAAACCATCTGATGTGGTACTCTTGATGATGGTAAGTGCTGGGTAAACTGGCCTGTATCAGCTGCTGCTTTACAGGAGCTGGAGGAAGTGATGCTGTCAAGTTTTCTTCTTCTCTTGGACAGAAAAAATGTACCTGTGCAAACAGCAAACCATCTGATGTGGTACTCTTGATGATGGTAAGTGCTGGGTAAACTGGCCTGTATCAGCTGCTGCTTTACAGGAGCTGGAGGAAGTGATGCTGTCAAGTTTTCTTCTTCTCCCCTTCCCATTGCTGTTTGCCTATTTTAGTTCAGATGGCCAGTGAAAGCCTAACCTTCCTGGGGTTGCTCAAAAGTTTTAGTTGAAGTATTCTTGCCTAGAGTCTCCTTTAGGGATGGATTCTGAAGTGCATTTGCTCAGCCCAGTTACAAAACCAGACAAGACCTTGTCTCCTGAGCTCAGGTAATGGATGGTGCCAGCTGAAGTAGTCAGGTTACTGGTGACAAGCTGTGTCTCTGGTGAATGAATGGCTAATGTCTGGAGCCTGGCTGTCTTTCAGATGTGATTGCTGAGGGTGATTTGTCGTCTTAAACACCACTTTAAAATGTTTACACTGATTCCCTTCTTTTGGAAGGTCAGGTCTTGAAGCTGGTAGGAGGTGGCAGCTTAAAAATTGTCTCCTCTCTTAACACCGAGTCTGAGTCCATGCCTTAGTTTTCAGGTTTTGAGATTAAATGATGATCCCTTTAAATGCTGGGCTTCGACTTTCTGGAGGTTTTTGTGGAGAGACACTGATCAATATGTCGAGCAAAGCTTGTTAAGTAATTTCCAAGACACCTGTGAGCCTCTCCTGCGCTGCTGCTTTTAGCATTTCAATGTGGCAATTGCTCAGTAGCCCCAAGTAAAGTTGTTGAAGTAGATAAAGATGAGAGAGGTCAAAGATAAGCAGAAGCAGCATGTGAAAGGGCAATTCCATCAGACAGCAGGACTCCCAGTTTCTTCTCTTTTGGTTTACTGCAGATAGAGGGGGAAAAAAGTAAACAATGGAAAGGATTTTTTTTTTTTTTGCTCCTCAGAAGTTCAGTTTGTTTCAGTCATGTTTGCTGATCCTGCATCACTATCCCCAGAGCAGCAAAGGCATTTTTTTAATTCAAAGGAGTCTTTTTTTTTTTTTCTTTTTTTCTTGATGAACTTATGCTAGAGGTCCCCATGGGGGGTTGATGGAAGGGGGTGCATACCCGGAGCCTCGTTGATAACTGCAAGGCTGCTATTCAGCTCCAGCTTTGTTACACCGGGTACCTGTAAAAGAAAATCTCATCATTTCAGACTGATCTGTGAGTGTAAAAGCAGTCCGATTGAACTCCTTATTAGCTGCTCCGTGGTGCAGGGCAAGGCTCTTGCCTATACACAGGTAATTACCCTGGATCAATTAATACCTAGGAACGGGATCTTGTAAGAACCCACAGCACGTGGCTCTGTGTCCCCTGCCATTAATCCTGAAGCTGAACCTTATCAGTGCTGTCTGGGCTCGTTATAGCGAAGCCCACGTGGGGATTTTTGGTGAACAAAATGAGAATGCCTTTCTCTTACACCCTTTACTAGTAACTGATTTTCAAAAAATAACAACAAAAAGCAGATGTTTTACAGGAGGGTAAATGTCTGTGTTAAATCACTAGCAGAATAATCCCATTGGTTTAAATTCAGTGCTTTGAATGGTCTTTGCATTTCCTAGTGCAGTGGGCTGAGTAGGGGTAGTTCTACATCCTGAGCATCCGAGGTTTGGACACAAATCTCCGGATCTCTGCTTTCATTCTGAGCTTCTAATGCTCACCCACTGAACTGTAACATTCAGACACAACAGATTTTTTGACTAGATGTATAACCGGAGTTATTGTTTATTTCTTGCATTTGGTGTTACGATCTAAAAGGTAAATTTCACTTTAAATATGTACGCTGTCTTCAGAGTATATAGTAAATTCCACTGGGAGGCTTAGCTGTTGAAACAGGAAAAAAATTACTTTCAAAAAAATCAAACTTGAAGCTCCTACAAGTTGCCTAGAAGAACAAAATATTTCAGAGGTAGAATTGCCACCTGATCTTATGATAGCTTGGGCGTTGTATAGACATCTTAAAATAACTGCCTTTTTTTTTTTTAACTGATGTAAGCTCTGAGCTTGAAACCATTTCTGCCAGAACATTCATGGTAAGGGTATGCTATGAATTCCTGCTCTGAACCTGTGTATGTCAGTTGTACTGACAGGTTGAAATCTCTGTACATAAAGCAAATTGAAAATCAAATTTATGGGGTTTTTTTGAGTATAAAACAATGGGGGGCAACATGTTCCATTGTCTCCCTGCTTTATAAATTGTTACTGGTGGGCGATTTCTTTATAATCCCCCAGTAAAGGCTGTCCCAGGTTTCAAAGGGCTGTTTGCCTGTCCACAGCGTGTGTCTGTTCAGTCCGGAATGTGGTTTTTTTTCACTGACTTTCTTAAAAAAGGCCTGGGAAGCAGTCATCCGTAACAGTGCTCGGCTTGCGGGCTTTGTAAGCTGCTGCTCGTGCTGGAGCCGCCCTGGACCCCGGTTATGGGTACCCCTCTGAGCCTCATTGTGCAGCTATTTTTTTTCCTCATAAGTTGAACCTGCTGGTGGAATGTCTCCTTCCAGGGGATGAAAGGAGCATGGGCAACCACCGTGCTGGCTCTGCAAGGTGGTGCCTCTTCTGTAAATGGGGTACCCGGTGCAGTTATGTCCTCTGAACGCTTTTTTTTTTTCAGTAGAATTATGTACTGCTTTTTATTCTGCTATAAAACACTGTACTACTACTAATTTATTTTCAAATACATGTAATAGTAAAATAACGTATTATCTCAACGAATTGCTGAGAGATACACCTTGCTGAAATGGTATTTTTCTAATTAATGCCTATCAACATGTATTCTGCCCATTTTAATTCTGTCCATGGTAATGGCATTAGTATATGACCACATCTAAAATGAGAAAGTGTCAGCTTTTAAGGTGACATGAGCTTGTTGCAGGTATTCCTAAGGATCTTTGCTCCTTCCCTTAACCCACTCTTTGCACGGTGGCTACAAACTTGTGTGTGAAAACCAACCCTTGCAGGTGAAGATCTAGCATAGGTAGACCAAAAATTCATATGATTCTGCCTCTAAAATGAAAATATGTATATTATATATGTGAAATCCAGTCTGTCAGTTCAATAATTAGTTTTTATAATGCTGAAATAGGTTACTATAAAAAATAATGGCTTTTGCTATAATTAGAAAAGTCCAATCATTCTCCTGTGGTTTTTTCTTATTAATGTCTATTTTTGTTTCTTGCTGCAATCATGTACCATATGATTTTTTTTTTTTTAATGTTAGATAGATGTTATTTATTCTAAAGACCTATGCATTTTTTTGGCACAGGATGGAGTAACTTGGGCAACTGAGGAAAGGGCAATATGAGAGAAATGTATCTTGCCCTCGTTGCCTATGAAACTCTGTTAAAATCTTACTTAACAGAGTCTATTTAGGAGCAATTTTCATGGCAAAGAAGTTTAGTGTTCTGTAAAAAGCAACAGCAAGTTGTTCCTGGGTTGCAATGTTTGAGCGTCTGTTTAATACTTGTGAGGAAAGTGTGTGGATGACCAAAGTATTAGAAGTTAACTGACTGCCAAAACCCGCAGTAATCCAGCCCTGGTTTCTGTGCCAGTCACAGTGCTGTAGCTGCTGAGCATTTGCCATAGCAGGTGGTGGGTGTTGGTTTGGGATTCCAGACACTGAAATGGTATTTGTTTCAGTACATCTCTTTCCTCCTCATTATTATTTTTTTTCCCCTCCCATAGGAACTGAAGTTGCCTGTGTATAAGGCTCATTCACCACAGATCGGGATGCGCCGATACTTCATTGATCTCTTGACTGTCTTCAGCAACCATTGCAATCTCTGCCCTACAGCCCGGCATCTTGCTATCTATTTATTGGATCTCTTTATGGATCGCTATGATACCACTGTCAAGCAACTGCACATCATTTCATTTGCCTGTCTTCTCCTAGCAAGTAAGTTGGATGCCATCTATTAAGCCTTTTTTTTTTTTTTTTTTTTTTCCAAAATTGCCAGACTTTTTCTCAGGAATTTTAAGAGTTGTCTGCGATACTTTTGGGGATACTGTGGAGATGGTGGAACCTTTTTTTTTTTTTTTTTTGGTCTGAGCAGATGGTTGTTTTCTTTATATATCGTGTGCTGTTTTCTCTGTGTTAACAGCTTCTGCCTACTTAGGGTAAGGCCTGATGAAGTCCCAAGTGAAGGTATAAAACAGCCTCTTAATAAACTCCACTCAATTGGATAGCCTGTACTACACACCTATATGCTGGCGTTAATGTGCAGAGGAAGTTCTGGCAACTGCAGCTGGGTCAATGAAGATCTGGGGGTGACAGGGTGGGAAGGAAGTGACGAGACTGGAAGAGGTTAGTTCCAAGGAAGAGTTGGTAGCAAGGAATGACATCTGTGTAACGTGCAGCCTCTCCTGGAGATCCTTCCTTGGACATTCTGTACCTCTGCTGTGATCACTGGGTGTAATCAGTTCCTTGCAAATCACAGGGTTTTTTTTATACAGGGGCCAAAGGAAAATTTGCTTCTGGAAGCATTTAATAGAGGTGTTGATGATATGGTGTGTATATTGCTTGTTCTGGGCTCCTATGAAATAGCTCGGCATTGCTGTGTAATACTAAAGTTTCAGTATGGGCATCCATGTAGCAAATGGCCATGAACGTTTGTCATTGGTTTCTTGAAAGCTTCTCTGCAACCTTTGTTGTGAAAGTGGAGGAAAGCACCTCAAGGAATTGCAGCCTACCCTTGCAGACTTACCAGCTCTGTTTCCAGGTTACAGAGAAAATATCTTGCCCTTTGGGAGCCATGTAGAGCAATGCACTATTGTGGACAACAAAAGTTATATAAACTCTATCATTAACAGCAGAAAGAGCAAGTGGTCATATTGGCTAAGGTAAAAAACACTAAGGAGAGCTAGAAGCTCTTGAGGAAAGAAGGTGACACTACATGTTTACCCTTCAGGACATGGGATCACTACTGCTTTTCCTTGCTGGTGGTGTTCTGAGAGCTTAATCTGCGGAGACAATGGCAATATAATATAAAACCCGTACACTTAGTGTATCTAAGCATTGCTGGCTGTCTGGCTCCAGAGAAGAGAGTGAATTCTGTGGAGCAGTTACTGGTTCATGTTGAAAAAAGGCTAATGTTAAAATCAGAATAAAGAAGAATGTAAACGGTTGCTGTAGGTGCAGTCTTAGGACAGCTTAAGTGACTCTCAGCTACTGCAGTTCTGCTGACCTCAACCTTTGGTGAGCTCCTGCGGACCAGCAGATTGGCAGAAAACCATCCCAGCTGACAGAAGTGTTTTCTTTGTTCACCAGATCAGTATTTTTCTGGGGATCAGACAAGCTTCAGGCTGGTGCAATGGAGGGGGTTGGAGCTAGGGCTGATTTGTAAATTGTTATGAAACTGTACCCTTAATTTCAGACATATCAGACTGAATGAAATACCAGGTTCAGGTAGCCTTGATGCTGATTCCTGCTCAGAGGTGTACTCCTTCAGCTTATGGACTACCTTTTTTTTCCTCAAAACTACAAGATGCCTTGCAGCGTTGCTGACTTTTTTTTTTTTTTTTAGATTATCTTCCCAAGTGCATGGATAAATGTTACCCTCAGGAAAAGAGAATAGGATTTTCTGTAGATAAATCCAACAATTTCAAGTATACTTCTCCTCTGTTTTTCCCCAGCATAAAATTGAAGCCTCAACAGTTGTAATAACCTTTTGTTTAGATTTAGAGGAAGAATTCATAGCTATAGTTTACATTTCTAGTGCTATGCAGATAGGATGAAAATGATACCCTTGAACTTTGTATGAATTTTGAGTGTTGGTATACTGCTAAGATCTTGGGCAGAGGTTCACTGTATGAGAGCTGGGCTGCTGACTTTGGTAGCTACTAGGATTTAAAATAGGAAAAAAGCTTTAAAGATTTCCCTTTTGTAAATGCAACTTTAGGCCACCTCTGTGCAATTGTGAAGCAAAAGGAAGTTCACAAACTGATAACACTGGAAGGAAATGTTCTGCAACCTCTGCCTGTTAAAAAAAAAAGAAGGCAATTTGCTTAAAAGAGCAAGCCTATGTCTAGTGAGCAAATGAGTGTGAGAACCTTTTTAAAATTAAGATTAGAGCAATGCAGTAGCATGTATACATCCTGATCTGGAATTAAGCCATCCCTTACAAGAAGGGGAAAAGGTCTATTATTGTAAAGGCAGCTTTTCTACCAACATGTAGAAACAAAACATTGACAGTTGAACCAAAGCAGCTTTGCACAAAATTAATGCCTAATTAACTTGTATTGATAAGGTTAAAAATTCTAGGGCTCAGTTTAGAGACTTCTGGGACTACAGTAAGCCCTGTTGTTTATTGTCTGGGCCATCCTAATGTGCAATAAGGATATTCCTTTTTGGTATGTGTAGTTCAAAGTGATGCAGGTCAAGTCAGGAAAAGACACTTTACGGTAAATGGGAATTCCTGTGTTTAGTTTGTTACTTTCAAAATTATATGAAATAGAAGAAAACTTGTACTATGATATTGTTTTTTTAATGTTTTGCAGGAAAAGATTCTAAGTCAAAAGTATCAACCTGAAGTCAATTTGAGAGTTCTCACTGTAGCAAAGAAGAATAAAACTAGTCCCTTGCCTGTTACTGCAAATGCAGTAATTAGAACTTCCCGCAAAGCATTACTGTAGGAAGTTGCATAGTTTTTCAGCAGAGGATTGCAGCAAAAGTGCTCTTCAGGCTGTGTTGCAAGACACTTGTACTTCTCAAAAATTATATACCTTTACCGTAGAGAGCAAAAACTATTTAAAATAGTTGTGGTGGTAACATCATATCAAGATGTTTAATGCAGACTGTATTCCAATAATTGTTACAAACACATTTTGAGAAGCTCTGGGTTTTCTTCCTGATTGCTTCCTTAGAAAAGAGCAAGAGATGAAGGGTAGTCTGCAGACCACAAGCAAGATGAGGTACAAAATGAAATGGAAGCAACAAACTTGTAAATGCAAGTTGAGGACAATATTTAAGCCCAGAGAAATTGCTGTAAACTTGTGTTTAGCTTTGAAGTTTATTGCATCTATCTTGGATGTGAAGGATCTCAAAAACTTCTCTCGCTTTCTTCCTTTACCTATGAACTTTGGCATTGCCTGTGTTTGACAGCATACAACAGCTGTGCTGTCGTGATGGAGGTCATAGCATTTGGCTCGATGTCCTTTAGTTAGCTGGAGCTAACTTCTCTTGCTGCATTCTAGAAATTAACTTTGACTGGCTCATCAGTTTCTCCGGACAGGGAAACTAGATGATGATAGTGCTTCCCACTTGGGTAATAATTGTGAAACTGATGAGGGAGTGAGAAGGTAATAGTGTTCCAAATTGCACAAGCAGCCAAGTAACGTTCAGGAGTTGCTGCAGTTGAGAGAGAGGAATGTGGGTGTGTGTCCCTTGAATCATCCCGTTGTTCACTAGCCAGAAGATGTGTGTCCCTGTTCAGTGCATGCACAGTGTGATAACTGGAGAAGGTCCCTGGAAATTCCTGCCAGATACTTTAGCTCCTCAGAACAGCTATGAAAGCTTTGAAGTTTACTAATGCTATCAATGGTTATTATTTCCTCTGAATCAGTTCTGAAAAAGAATGGTAAAATTTTCACAGTAATCCAGAGGTGAACTGAAAGCTATTGGGGGAGGGAAGGAAAAGTTGCTGGAAAAATTGGTGTCACATCTACTTTAGGAATGTATTTAGAATAGTCTATCTCTTTCACTTGCATTAAGGCACACTTTATGATCTAAATCAGGATCATAAACTAAACATGTTTTTATAATACAGAAAGACCTGGTCCCCATGGATGTTTTGGCCACGCTATTACAAGACAGGACCTCCTTTTAAGGTCCAGCTGTGGTAATACAAAATGGTTGTATGTTCCTGCTGCTGCAAGTTCATTAGTGAAGTCCAGTGGTTTTAATTGTTCAAGAGAACCCATCTGTCTCTTGCTTGAAGCAGACTAGCGATTGTTCAGGCTGACTGCTGTTAGGTCAGGGAGATGCCAGCTTTTTGTGAGAAGCAATGCTGGGCAGCTGGGACTGATGGGCTTGAGACAAGCCAGATGGATCTAGAGCAGGGGAGTTACCAGTACACCTGCACAGAAACCAGGATTGCTGTCTCTGCACCAGGCTATGGATGGATGCTCATTTTGCAAACAGACTGAAAATTTTACTGCTTTCCTTTTCCCCCAAAGCATCTCAGTGCTTTGAGTAAGCTCTCATTTTCTCCAGACAAAATGAGATGGCTGATGCTTTCAGTAAGTGGATTGATTTAGTTCAACTCCCTTCAGGTGAAATGTTAGTTAAGGAACTTTTGGTTCACCTCACCTGGCAGCTGAGAAGGCAGCCCCTGGTAGAGAAGCACTGTTGAGCATCAGCAGGTTGTAATGTTCTAAACTGCATCTTCATCAGACAATTTATTACAGAAAATGATTGTGATATTTTAAGGTGCCCTAGCCTTAAGTGCTCTGTTGGACAAAGAGATTGTCTAAAGAGATATCCCATCTGCTTTAATGCTCTTTGGCTCAAATTGCCTGCTGAAGCTGTGCAAACCAGCTGTCCCAAAGTAGATGAGATGCACTGACACAATGCATTCGGACGGTCCAGCCGCTGGAGCAGTGAACTCTGGGGAGAGAGTGAGGACCTGGGCACTGAGTCTGAAACCGCTGCAACTGCTGCTTCTGTGAGTTATTGCTGTAAAATCCTAGCTGGGTCTTAAAAACTGTTCCTTTCTTCCCTGAAGAGGTAACCCTTTTTAGCAGCAGGTGCTTCAGTACCTGATAAAAGCAGCATCTCAGCCATTCAGTGGCATTGAATGTTCCAGCAATTCTAGTTCTTATGGCCCCTCTTTCTCAAGAGGGTTCTGCTGCGGTTGAGACATGACAACAGTTTTTTAAATTTGAGTATTGTTTCAAGCAAGGCCGTCTGGTTGTTCAGCACATCCAGTGCTGTGTTGCCTCACAGAGTACTTGGTACTTCTTGTGGTTTTCCTGGCTTTATTTTGCTCAGCTCCTTAATCTGCCAGTGGATTCTCAGCAGCTGAGTTAACTCAGGACAATAAAAGAAATCAGAGCAAGAAAAGATGTCTGTGGTAAATGGGCTGAGTTTAGGGCATGGATAATCCTTTATCACCAAATTCCCCATTGTCTACATGGAGCTGTTGTCAAATGTCAGGCAGCTTTTCTCTTGGACTGTGCTTTGTGATCCATTCTCCATTTATTGTTCCACTTCCGTGAGCAGGTAACTGTTCTGCCAAAGACAGCTGAGCTACTTATTTTCAATTAAAAATAATAATGGATATAAGTCCAAAATATATATTAGTGTAAAACTTGGTCTGTAGCCCTAATTTCTTTTTTCAGTATTTCCCTGCTGCTGTAACATGTACAGAATATTTTCTTTAGTAATTAATCTTTACTATAGTAAGGCATTAAAAACCTGGGTGCCTGGAGCTAAGTGGCTTGGATGTGTGCTAGGTATTGTACAGACAGATGAAAAATCCCTGACTGCTCACTTTGTAAGACACTCCAGAAAAAGGAATTAAGCAGGCTATGTCTAAAGTAGCCTGTCTCTTTCTTGCCTTGCTTAGAGGATGGTTAGAAGCTGTGTTTGTATCTGGAGGTGGCATGGGAGTCTCAGAAGTTTGTTGTACAGCCTTGTGGAACAATGTAGGAGTAAAGAAAAGTAGCCCTTCAGCTGTCTAAGCAGCCGTAGGTCTTGTCTTCATGCTGAGCTACATGGGCTTGACTGGTTTATCCTCCTGTTGGATTTATTTTAATTGTTTATGGGACGCATTACACTTTAATGACTCTTTAAATGGGCAGTCCTTTGTGTTCCTTGGTCTTCTCAAGGTCTCTGAAAACGTAGTAAAACAAATTGCCTGCACCTCCTGCTTTTGTTTTGCTACCCATGCAAAACCCTGGGACCTGCAAAACCCTGCAAAAACCTGACCACCAGTCATCAATCTGAACTGCGTGCTGTGTAGCAAGGTGCAGGTAATGACTCGTGCCTCCTGCAGTGGATGGATTAGTTCTTCCGGGTAAATGCTATCAGTGATGCTCCTCAGAGACCTTTAGCTTCCTACTGAAAAGCTTGCATGGATTGATAGGCTGTTTTGATAATGTGAGAAAGGTACTAATAAAATGCACTCTTCATAACTGAAGCCTGTGCCCCTTGACAACAGGACTTACTCTGGCTTTCATTCATCACAACAAAAGTGTGAATGTCTAATATAAAAAGCACCCACTTTTTATTCTGGGGGAGCATCTGATTGTAGAACTCAGAGTGGGACAGAACACGATTTAAAGTAACTTGGCAAATCTTTGCATCGTTAATTACAGTAATACTGCACACTCTTAAAAATGTCCTATACTGCCCCCATCTATTTAAATTTTACAAAAAAGTTGGTCACGAATGTAAATCTACGTTACCTGTTCATCTTATTTTATTAATCCTATTGCCCTTCGGAGGCTTCCCTGTATAAAAAATTGTGGCATCCATATAAAAGGTCTTAAAGTCTTACGATTGTGTTACCTTGAAACAAAACTATTTTTGAGAGCAAGTGACAACTAAATGGTCTTTTATCAGTAACCAGAGCTTAGAACACAACAGAAAACTTTTAATTTGAGATGTCTACAGTGGTATTTCAAAAGCATGCAATGACTTGTGCACAATTCACATGAATGTCAAGACTACAGACTCCAGGTGATACTGTAGTTGAAACAGCTTTGTTTTTCTTCACAAAGTGTGATGTTGATTAAAACAGTCAGTGTTACTTGTTTGGTCAATACTAAACTTACAAATGTCTTGTCTGAGTCTTTAATATTCTTGCAGCAACTGTGTTGGGGGTCCTGGTTCTCTCAGCATAAATATGCTGTACACAAAACCTCAGTTTCTGCTGTAACTGAAGAATGAAAACGGGAACAGTATATTCTGGTATCTTTACATTAGGGAAATCAGGAAACTGGAAAAGGACACACTGCTTTTTAAAAACATCTTAAACTTCTTTCCCAGCTTGCCTCTGATCTCTTTGGTCTCATGAATGAACTAACTTTGGCTGTGTTCTCCAGATTACAATTTAAAAATAGGTGGGAAGAGCTTGGTAAACTTGGAAGCAAAGTGTTTAGGTCAAGGTAGAATGGGGGAAAGAAAATGTGATCAAGTTGCTTGTATGTTGCTTTGGAAAGTAGCTCATATTCAAATTTTACAGTTTACTTGAAGCAAAACTTCTGAGTTGATTTCTTTACCCTATTCCCAACTCAGTTTTGGAGCCTTTCTTCAGCTTATCTAGCTACATTTGTACTTGGTGGCTCCAATTTGCTGTGGTGGTTGCTGTTACCTAACATTAAAACTAGGAACTAGAGTGTAGAAAAGCAGAAGGGGGAAAATAATAAATAACTAGTAATCTAAATCACTAAATCTAACTTATTTCAGTTATTTTTAACTTTAAAAGACAAATAATCAAGTCAAAAAGCTTTGCCCTATGTTGGTATGATACCTTCCCAACACTACTGTGCTGGTAGTCTGCTCTCCAGACTATAGTCTGACCTCTTGAAATTTCCAAGGTCGAGTGGGAAGAAAGAAGGAACTAGAACTTACAGCCACCAGAATGAGAGAGCTTGTCCCTAGTGTCCTGGTAAAGCAGTGAGTTCTACTTCCGAATTTTAAAGGGCTTTTTCAGTGACAGCGTGCCCACAATCCTTTCCTGTTCTACTTCATATGATGGATTAATTTTGTTTTTCCTTGTTATGTTCTTTTCTGGTGGGGTGGCTGCTGTATTACACTTTTAATGCATTTCATATCCATGATACCTGAACAGGCTCAAAGATGGAAAATCCATTTTTAAATGTGTTACAAAGATACTTAAGCTGCGAATAGTACCAAAAGTTGTCAGGTTTTTAATACACTGGAGACACTTGGGATGGAATTGCTATCCTAAATGGATTGCAAGATCTTACTTACTTTTAAAATAATTTTCCAGTGCAATATTCATTTTGTTTCTAGATTTGATGAGAGTATTCTGAAGCCATATGACATGCTAATATCTTGTCAACTGGTCTGTGTTGGTAAAGGAGGATTCTTACAGAGGCGGTGGAAGGGCAACTGAAGGAAGAATCAATTGTGGAATATATGCCCTCAAGAACAAAGAGAAAAATAACTACAGAGTACTTTTAAGTACCTGTTGGTTTGTATTTTGCAGCAGGGATGTTCTTTAAGCTGTACTGGAAACTTGCCACTTGTCATTGTTTGTTGCTGACTGTTGAATGAAGAATGGCTGGTAGGTCATTTTTGACTTGGTAAACCAACAATGTGAATTTAAGCAGACTTAATTCTTGTTCAAGTTTTCAGCAAAGTAACACTGTTGCTTTATTATTGATAGCTCTAACCCTGGGAATCACATCTGATATTAGATGCCTTTTATGAAAGAAAGGGAATAGAATGAAATCCTGTTTTTCTGTACAAATTGACACCGCTTTGCAGCTATAAGTGAAAACTGAGTCATTCTAGAGACTACTGCTGGTTCAGCAGGCTGGTAAATAAAATGTAGAAAAAGGCTCAGCTTTGCTCAGCTATCTTGACTCTGAAAGTGTATGCTCTCTCCTAATCCCCTAGAAATTATTTATGTTAATCACTTAGTTAGAGTGTACTTCTTCTAGCCTTTCAGTGACCTTAGCTAATGAGGCCCCTCAAGACAAGAAGGAACAAAGAGAAATTCTGAAGCAGCAAGGGCAAAGGTGGTGTTGCCCGTAGGTTTTTAATGTCTTCCTTTTTGTAGCATATGCATTTAGCTTCCATACCCAAAGGAGCTTTTTCCTTCAATATTAGATCTTTCTCTGCCATATTTTCCCCGTACTGCTTGCTTTCTTCACACCTGACTGAATGCCCTTCAGCAAACAGCTTCTAGTTATTGTCAGAAAAAACTATCTGTAATCCTAATGAGTTTATAATCTTGGCATCAATACTATATAAACAATTAAAAACAAACCAACCCATAAAAAGCATATAGGAATATGTTAACCAGTCTGTTGGCTTCTTTCCTACTTGTCACTGTACTTTCCCATCCTTCTTTAAAAAATATCTTTCTGGTTTGGGGTGTGTTCTTTATTGGTTTTTAGACACTCAATCATAATGATAAATCTGAAAACCGTCTCTTCTGGCAGGTAAATTTGAAGAAAAAGAAGATAAAGTTCCAAAGTTGGAGCACTTAAATAACCTGGCATACATGTGCAATGTGAATGTGGTATTGAACAAGAAAGATTTGCTTAGAATGGAAATGCTCCTTTTGGAAAACTTCAACTGGAACCTCTGTCTACCAACACCAGCTCACTACATTGACTACTACCTCTATGTGTCCATTGGTGAGAATGACCTTCACAATGGCTGGCCGATCACCTCACTGACCAAAATCAAAGATTTTCTGGAGAAATATGCCTATTATTTCCTTGATTTCTCAGTGCAAGGTAAGAGGCTTAGTTTTATGCTAGAATGATCTTCTGTTTGGCAAAAGGCAAAAATCTGAAAGAGACAAGAGCTTTAAAACTTGTCATAATATGGATTGGACAAAATATCTGTGCAGAATGGTTTCTCTTTGCAGTTATTTCAGATGGCAAATAGTACAGTTTCCCTACTTTACACATAAGCCTCTTGTCTCTTTTCAGAAATCTCTAGATGATGACATTATTTTCCTCAGCTTAGAACACTAATTGGTGAGACTGTCAGAAACAGGGTCAATTTTTTGATCTGCCACAGAGTATGAAGTACTGTCAGTTGCAGGCATGATATTACGCAGTTCCATGCATGAGTCTTTTTAATGATTTTTAGAGGGTCCTGTGCTGCGAGACATGACACATTTAGAATGATGAGGCTTTTAATGATCTGGTTTGCAGCGTCGTTTCCAACATCTGCCCGTGTGAGGCAGTGAACTGCAGCATCCTTATAAGCCAGGTTCAACATGAATGTAAATATCTCTGTAATCGTCAATACCTAAATTTGGTTCAGTTGAGACCAGTCTACAGATTTCAGCACAGTCTATTTCTTGGCTTTTTCTGAAATGAAAGAAACCATATTGGAGCCTTGATAGTAGTTACAAACAAGCAGTACAGGGATCTTCGGGAAAGCTTCACCCAGTTTTGAGAGACTTTTTCTGGTCATGAGTTAATAGTCTGAGATGTATGGAACAAAGTTGTGGATTTAATTTTGCCCTGTCTTGCCATGTATACACATAATAGGCTCATGGCAGTGATTAGAAAGAATGTAATTCTTCCTTTTGTTTTTTCTTTTGTAGATCATACTTTCCTCTATTTTCGTCCATCTCTGATTGCTGCAGCTTGTGTGTGTGCCTCACGGATCTGTATGCAGATTTCTCCTGCCTGGACAACACAGCTCGAATTGCTAACATGTTATTCCTGGGAGCATCTTGCCCAATGCATTGAAATGATGCTCATGTAAGATTAGAAAGAAACCAACCTGTTTGTGCTCTTAGGAAGATGCTAATGTTTTGTTTCTTGTTTTTTTTTTTAGTAATTGTTTAGCTAGAATTTGGATAGTACACTATTACATTGGTAATCTCCATCTTCAGTTTGGGGAGAGGAATAAAAGGGAACAAATCAGGTCACTTTACTAAATACTATATTTTAACAATATTTGCAATGCAGAATGGAGTGCACAATTTAGTGTTCATTATGTTTTCCTGTACTGGTTTCTTTGTTTTTTTCCACCCGTAAGGGACATGACTGTGATGCACCAATGCTGGTCTGGTACATAAGCACATACAGTCTTAACAGAAAATAAAAGTTTAATAGAATGCTTTAGGTTGGGTGTGATGGTGGACCTTCTGAATCCCTACTTAAAGCAGGGCCAGCTGAAGTTAAATCAGACTGCTTGGGGTGTTCTCTAGTCAAGTTTTGACTATTTCTAAGGATGGAGACTTCATAACCTCTGTGGTCATGTTGTTCCAGTGCTTCATCATTCTCATGATAATTGAAAGTGTGAAAATGTTTCTTCCTAGTATCTAACAGGAATTTACCTTGTTCCTTCACAGCTCTGCACTTTAATACTCTGCAAATACTTACAGAGGGTATTTTACAATGTCTTTGTGTTGTGGACTTAAGGTTCCAAGACAACCAAGTAAAAACATACTTGTGATGCAAAATTATCCATAAAACTGTTGTTAGTGTGTGAAGATCGCAGCAGGGTAATTAGAAATTAATTGTGAAAGCAACTGAGGATTCAGTTAGGACCAAAAAGCTGCTGTTGTAACCTGACTGGTGAAAAGTTTGAAATATATGCAAGATCTGTGAATTTCTTTGATAAATCTTACTTATAATTTGTTTCAGATATTATGAGAATGACATCAAAGAAGCCAGTAACATAAAAAAGCAAGTAACAATTCAACATCAAGAACAGGAGGCGGTGGGAAACCTGAGCCATCAAGCCACTACTCAAGTTCTCTTCCAGCCATCTAGTTATCACCCTTTAGCCCAGCATTCGGCTACACTTTCCCAGTTCCAGTCGCCAGTGCAAGATTTGTGCTCTGCCTATCGTGACTCCTTGCAGCCCCACAGGCCCAGCAGCCTGCTTGCTGGGAGCGCTGACAGCTCGCTGCGTTCCTGTGCAGCTCTTCAGGCCAGCCTCCGGCCGTCTGCCCAGGCTCTGCCCATCCCAATGCCCGTTGCCCTGCAGGTGGCATTAGGAACAGAGCCCAGAGACTGCATTTCAACGGCTTACGGCAGTAGTTACTTCAGTGGTCATCACTTGTATGCAGCAGGGTGTTTTGATGGATAAATATGGATGGGAGAAAAAGGTGATATGAATAGAAGCTGAAGAAGAGAGCCTGTGTGTAATACAGGATGTGTACCTGAATGAAAATGAAGAAACAGAATCCCTGTGACTGACTCAGAGGATGTTGATCTGGATCCACTGATCACTGCAACCTGGGTGCCTTTCTGCCAAGGGTTGTACCTTTGGCTCTTAATGAGAGAGAGAAATAGAAATGCATTGATATACCTCATCCTTGTCACTTTGAAAGGCATCTGCGTAGAGTCCCTGTGGAGATTACTTCCTTCTAGTCTTCAGTTAGCGACTTGTCAGAGTTGGCTGAAAGCTTATGTTGAAGAGTTATTTCAAGCTGGAATGTTTGTTGAATTTTTGGCCAAGTAGCAACGTACTCAGAGTATGTTGTTGGAAAACAGAGTGCTCTCCTCTCCCAGTGACGTGTCATTTGAACAGTGGCAGCTTATACTACTGAAAGCTTCTACTTAAATGTACTGAAATTGGTATCAGTTAAATATGATTAAATTCTTCATCTACACAGAAATCTATGCGCAGGACACTTTCTGTTTTCTTTAAGCAAGAATGAGAGTTTAGGAGTAAAACTTTAGGATAAAAGGAAAAAAAGAAAAATGGACCAAAAGACTATCAAATAATTTTTGACTTAAAATTCTCTTGGAATCTAAATGTGGTGCTGCTGAACAGAACACCACTCTGCCTTCAAGTACTTTAGAAACAAAACCAAAACCTTAAATCATCTCTTAGATCTTTAAATGCTGCTGCTTTTGAGACTGGAGTTACTGTTACTAAAACTATTCATGAGCTTTATCAGGGATTTAATGTTACTTGAAGAAATCCTCTTGGAATAACTCTTGAAAGGTTCAGTGCCTTCAGTTACTTCATCTTTTGGGCTCAATGGCTTGTGGCAGTAGTCAGGCTCAGGACAGAGGAACTGATGGGGGCCTAGATAGGGAACTGGTTAACTTTACTGTGAAATCAGACTTTGATTGCAGTGCTAGACAATGCTGACTTTAGGTTTTTTAATACTATCTTAGCATTCTTTGGAAAATGTAGCTGGTAAATTAAAGATTGTGTTGCTGCTTTGCAATGAGACACCCACCTACTGTCACACACCCAAAGGTTTCTTTCTCAACTGAAACCAGGGATGATTGCTCAGAAAAGCGTATAGGCTTTTTTTCTTTCTTAATGTAGATATTTACAAGAAATGGACTTTGGCAAAGGTGAAATTTTAGTTTTGATATATGCAACCACTATTGTAAACTTGTTTGAGGGCAGTACTCTTGGTTTGTCTTTTCTCTGAAGGTTTCTCAGGAGAGCAATACAAGTAATGTGCAATATGCTTTTATTGACTTGTGGCAATTGTTTCAAGTCATGTGTCACAATGCTGTTTTAAATTATATTTTTAGAGAATTGTTTTTAAGGGTGTTTTAGGGTGGAGGGGAAAAACTAGCCTGTATGCTAATGCGTGTTTGTGTAACTGTCTTCTGAGAATTCAACTTTTGGTATCAAGTTAATAATTTCTACTATTCGGCAGGCTAGAGGAATCTTCTTGTTTTATTTAAAAAAAAAAAGCAAACTGTAACTGAAGAGGCAGTACTCTTCAGAAATTAGTCTAGAATTTTAGATAACATGGTTAATCTTCTGTTAGCTTTGTATTTATATTAAACTTTATTTTCAGAAGACTTTAGTGTATTTTTATTATGTCATTTGACAGACCTAAAGAACAACATATGTGTGGCAGTATTGTTGTGTGGTTTTTCTTTTTTGTATCACCCTTCTAATTTGTGTCACGTGCAGTATTATGCTCTGGACCACCATTGTGCTTAACTGTGAAAATACTTGCGAAGTTCCCAGTGACAGTTTCCAATAAACAAGCACACTGTTGAAGTAGCTTTTTGGGTTTGAGTGGTTTCTCCTTGGCTTTTAAGAACTAGCGAAGAATATATGCCTGTACCATTTACAGAACAGAATAGGGGTAGGACAAATGTGATGGAAAGGCCTTGCCGAATAATAAATTGTGAAGGATTAGGCAGATCAGGAATTTGGTTGCTGACCAAGAAATAACATCCTATCCCTATAAAGTGCTGGTGTATATAAGGAAGTAGAAAGTGGGATGAGGAGATGGCTGAAGAAACAGGCAGAAAATGTGCAGAGACAAGGCAGGGACATAAAATAATGTAAGAACAGATTGTTCCAGCTTACATGGCCAGTGTGTCTTTGGTCCCATCTTACCTGAGGAGGTTGAAAGGCTGCATAGGACAACGCGGTTGTATGTTCTGTCTTTGTTCTGGTGACTGCAGTTTCAAAACCGGAATTATCCATTGAGTTCTACGTTCTGTTTGTGCTGTTGTGTTGTGGGTGGAGTTGGGGCAGATGAAATCTGACAGCAGACTCTGAAAGGGGAAAGATTTATGAGAAGTTGAGTTGGCCCAACACTGCTTCAATTGACAGTTCTTTCCAGAATGCTTTAAATGTTGGTGGCAATTCCACACATTGAATTTCTAGATAAATACTTTTTCATGTGACTGCAGGTTCTTTATTTTCTTTTGTGAAAACATACCTCCTCAGGAAAGGCAAACATAGAAGAGTTCAGCTCACCTAAAGATACTTTTCTGAAGACTTTGCCACATTTGCTGTTGGAGGGAGCTGCAGAGGTACGTGCAAAGCTGAGGTAATTTTTAAGCAAATGGATGCAAAACTTCCCACCAAATGTGCTGTTTGATGCTGTCAGTTGCAGGATGGTCATAGATCAGAATTTTTACACACTGATTAACTTGTACTTCCCTGGCAGACTTTGAAGTAAGAAAGGCTGCTGCAAAAGCAAATGCAGCGACATGTGGCTAGGAATACAAAACTGGGTATGGCACTGGTTACCTCCTTCATGGGAAGACATTGCAGATGTAACCAAACAAATGACAAAGCCCACATTAAAATTAAAAAACTATATTAGTGAGTCCTGACAACAGCTGCAGCAGGGATACAGGTGGAAAAAAGTCTGCTAATATTGATCAGGCACCAAAGGTTAAAATGAACCCTATTTAAAAAAATCTTGGAGCTGTAGCTTCCCGCTTTCCTAAGCAGGAAAGGGGGAAGCTACTACCATCTCTCTATTTGTGATAAAGCCACTGTTATCAAAGCCACTATTTGATCCTTTTGTTTTAGCCAGTTTTACACACTGGAGCGAACAATTTAAAGTTGGTATAATGCTCTTTGGTCAGTATAATCAACTCCTGAGTAAAGTGTACAGGTGTTGCTTAATAAAACTTAGCTTAGTGCTGTTTTTTACTGAGAAGTCTAGGTCCTAGAAATGGGGGCCAAACACTGATGGGTCCTTAGAGAGTTTGTTTTGGCTTTTTTAATGGGTGTTTGTTTTGATCTCCATACTACCATTTCCAGACAAGCCTAAAGAATGTCCTCCAGTTGAAAAGGCCCTTACGTGCTTTCTAGATCCCACCCCTCCTCTCCAAGCTTTGTTGTCTGTATAAGGGGGAGTTACTTGATCACATGCAGAATGTGAAAAAATGTGCAATTTAATGTTGCACAACATTAAATGTAGTTGCTTCTAGAACTGGAGTTAGTGGTGGCTGGTTCCAGTTTGTTTTCAAAGGAGGGAATCATCAGGTGTTGGTGTCATCTCCTTCAGAGCAGGTTCTTGCAGGTGGGAATGATTCAGACAAAACATCACCATCTCTTGATTCTGGTATGGGCTTTAGCTTCATATAACACTTGCCCAATGTCTACCTGTGCCTAACTCTACAGGTCATTTTGTGTAGCTGGTTGAGTGTTGAATGTGCCGGGGACACTCTAAATCCAAGTGTTCTAAGATGTCACATTATTATTTGCAGAGGAATGCACTAGCTGACTTGAACTCAAATGAGAAGTAAGCCTGAAGAGATCCATTATTACTTCTTAATATGACCTCATATAACTGAAGAGGCTGAATTTCAACAAAATTCTATTAAATCAGTAGATCTGTTTGTTGCAAGTACCAAAGGAATGTCTCAAATTTGAACAGGTTTCAGATTTGACTTGTGTTTAATTAATTGGAGTTCAGCATTATGCTTTGGCTTAAACAGAATAAGTAATATACTGAATAACACCTGCTCATAAGACATTGTTATGGACCCCAGCCAGCAAAAAAAATCAAGCCAAGTGCAGGGTCCTGCACCTGTGACGTGGCAATCCCAGGCACAAATACAGGTTGGGTGGAGAATGGCTGGAGAGCAGCCCTGAGGAGGACTTGGGTGGATGAGAAGCTTAACATAAGCCAGCAATGTGCACTGGCAGCCCAGAAAGCCAACTACATCCTGGGCTGCATCAAGAGAAGCGTGGCCAGCAGGTCATGGGAGGTGATTCTGCTCCTCTACTCTGTGCTTGTGAGACCCCACCTGGAGCACTGTGTCCAGCTTTGGAGTCCTCAACACAGGAAGGACATGGATCTGTTGGAACGGGTCCAGTGGAGGGCCACGAAGATGATGAGAGGGATGGAGCACCTCCCCTACGAGGACAGGCTGAGAGAGCTGGGGTTGTTCAGCCTGAAGAAGAGAAGGCTCCGGGAAGACCTTATAGCAGCCTTGCCTTTCAATATCTGAAGGGAGCCTGTAGGAGAGCTGGGGAGGGACTTGTTATCAGGAAGTGTAGTGAAAGGACAAGGGGTAATGGTTTTAAATTGGAAGAGGGGAGATTTAGGTTAGATACTAGAAAGAAATTCTTTACTGTGAGGGTGGTGAGGCACTGGAACAGGTTGCCCAGTGAAGTTGTGGATGCCCCATCCCTGGAGGTGGGTAAGGCCAGGCTGGATGGGGCTTTGAGCAACCTGCTCTAGTGGGAGGTGTCCCCGCCCAGGGCAGGGGGGTTGGAACTCGATGATCTTTAAGGTCCCTTCCAACCCAAACCATTCTATGATCATTAAATGCTTTGATGGATCTTCTGATTTTCTGAGTATTTGTCAGATCTTTAGGAATGGGGTAAGCATGTTGAGGATAACATTACTCTGAAAAACAATTATTGATGTTTGTAATACAAAGAAAGAAAGGAAAAGACAATCAGCATTCTATTTTATTTATTTGTATTGTTTGCTTTTCAGTGCACTGGAAGAGGTTGGCTTTACTGCCTTATGCAATCTTTTTGCTGGTCCTTTTGTAGACTACACCAGAAGAAGTAGAAATCTGGAATAAAGAAGAAACCAAAAATTTGGTTGAACAGTGTAATTAGACCTTCAGTGTCACACAAGGAAAGACCTGCTGACTGGCTCATGGAACCTGTCCTTTACTGAAGCAACGCTTACCCTTTGGTAGAAGACATATCTAGTAAATAGGCTGAATGACCTTGTCAAGTCTGAAATACACTGTGCAATAATATTCTTACATAAAAAGCACAACTTCTGAACTGGGGTTTAGGCATAATTTAAAGGTATGCTGTGTTAGATGTGGCTTCACCAACTCCAAGTTAACAAGGTTTTAGACAAGTGAGATAATTGCTTTTCAAAAAGCAATAAATGATTGACACTATTTCAGGGAGGGTGAGCGTCCTTTCTTGATTCACAAAGTCACTTAGTTCTGGTTGGTCTCTGTTGAAGACACCCTCAGACAAGTGTAACTGGCACAGACATAATTCAATTCAGGAAATTTTTTGAGAATCAGAAATCATAGTGTTTGACAATACAATCTGTTTTACTATAAGTACTGTAGTTTCAGTAATCTTCCAAAGCTATATTGGTGCTTTGTTGATAAAATAGGATACTACTTGAAATCCAACCTCTTTTGTGTTCTGTTTTGTTTCTACAGAAATTCTGTGAGGAGCTGCAGCTAGGTAGTTTTCTAAGAATGAAACAAAGCTAATAACTTTATAGAAACACATCAGTAGTAAGTGAAAAGTTTTATATATTATTTTCTATTCTTGAGGCATAGGCACAGTGAATACAGTCAAAAGACATGGCAGCTGGATATTTGAGAACTCACCTCTACTAGCTTTCCTCCAGAAATCTCTGAAGTATGACGATAGTTGGGGAAATCAGCTACTATTTTCCCATCTTCCATTTTAACAGTTGCCTGTAATAGAGAAAGGCTTAGTGTTCCCTGGGGTTACTGGCATTTATATAATCAGATATGCTGTAAACATCTGTATACCTGATGCTTAAAGTTTATACTTTTAAAAAAGCAGAAGTTATTTGCTTCATGAACGAGACTAAAACAATACATGCAGCTTCATGAGCAAGACTAAAACCCTTGTGCTTTAGTTCTTAAATGTTCACAATTTAAATGAAGTTCCATCTAACAATACATGCAAGTTCCATATCTACACAATATCCATTCATAGCTCTAAAAATGACCTGACCACAGACTGTGCTTCTCATTCAGGCCTCAATGGTTTTTGTGGTTCTCTTGTTCTGACAGTGAAGCAAAAGGGATGAAGGTATGAGTTAATTTTGAAGTAGCATTCTCAGATACTAATAACCTGCCTGCAAGCAGCACAAGAGTCACTGTGGATAAGTGCTGTGAATCTTTACCCAAGATCCTGAGCTTCATACCTCTAACTACACTAGAATTCACCTTGCTCATTGAAATATAGGTGAACATGACTGCACAGCCTCCAGTCACACCTTTATGCTATAATATATGCCCATTGCTACAGAAGATGCTTCTGTATGAAAGAAGTATGGCGGGATGCTGCTATGAAGATTGCAAATACTACAGCAGCCCAGCTGACCGCCAAAACTAGCTATGTAGTTCCATCATAGAATGGTTTGGGTTGGAAGGGACATTAAAGATCATCTAGTTCCAACCCCCCTGCCACGGGCAGGGACACCTCCCACTAGAGCAGGTTGCTCAAAGCCCTATTCAGCCTGGCCTTGAACACCTCCAGGGATGGGGCAAACAAATAAAATCATAAAATCAGTCTTGTCTCTATACTAGTCAGTCTCGCCTGTGCTTTTAGTAATGAAGACAGGTGAGCCAGTCATTTTTAGAGGAGAAAAAAATAATTTGCAAAATGAAGAGATGAGTGGACATTTTTACCAGACCCAAGGAAACCATCTTACTTTTTAATGTATTATTTAGTGACTCTCTACTAAAAGGCAGCAGTTTCTCTGCCGAGAGTCACTTCCTCTGCCTCCATTTTTGGCTACTTAGTAGGCTTTGGACTGCTGAAGTGCTCAGGGCCAAAAAGAAGAGAATAGAATTTGTAATATTTCAAAATTGCTAAGTTTACAACAAATTGACCAAGTAGAACTGTGTCTTATTCGATCTGCTAGGCTTGACAATGATTTCTCAAAGCCACAGACCCCGCTTTTTCCTCTCATAATCAGAAAGGTATGACTAAAATAGCATGCTGGAAATCATGCAATGCTACTGCTATTCTCAGTTTGTCACAGTTCCCTGATGCAATTATTGTTTTTCCTGTTTCTTCAATATGTATAAACAAATTATCCAGTAATCTATTGTAGGGTTCTGGATACCTCAAAATGCAGAGGTTAGCTGCCCCAAACTGTCTTATCCCTTTAAATAGATAAGATATGAATAAGGTAAGTAAAGCAATCACAGCACTCCTGTCACAGCGTGCTGCAGTTGCTGTACAGGGCTGGACAATGACACAGCTGCCAACAGGCTCTTTAGAGTTTTAACGAGCATTATGTTTGCTTGAGCTGTGACACCAGTAGATGCTTGACACTCTACCCTTGTTCTTTATTAGTACATACAGTTCTGAAGCTCTAGCTCTCTTTAAAATCAGATTTAGATATTTTGCTAGGGGCATCAAGAAATGGGGGAAAAATCATATGTTTCTAAGCTATGACAGATGTAAAAAACAAATTAAGGAAGATGTCCCTGAGACATATCTAGTTTTCACCCTAAATTAAAAAACAACTGAGACAGTGTAGAACTTAAGAGCTGAAATAATTTACCTTGAACTTTTTGCCACCCATTGTCTCCATTTCTGCTTCCTTGCCAATTGTGAATGTATTGGTTGTGGTGCGGCCTCCTGGGAAATGCTGCGTCCAAGTGAAGTCATTTCCATTCTGCACCACCTCAGTGATTATTTTGCAATTCCTTCCCATTTCAATCTTGTCACTGGGGAGACCTTAATCAATAGAAACATACAGTTTATCAAATCTAATAGCCTACCAGCTGTATTGGAATTGAAGCATGCTAATGGTATGCTTGTTCTCAGACATTGATGTCTGAACATCTGATTTGTTGTGGGTTTTTTAATTTTTTTTACAGCAGTATCAAAGACCTGAGTTTAAATTACTGGTATAAAGGAAGATATAGGTACATCAATGCATTTGCTAAAATAGTAAGTTTTGGTCTTGCATTCTTTTCCCTGAGAAATGATACACAGAATAAATGTATAAAGTATATCCAAATATTCCCTTCTACTAACACATGCAGATGCGTGGACTTCAATGTGTATGAACTTGTGTCTTTGCTATATAGCTGCACATACCAATTTACTGTTTGCTATTGCTTTTTAAATACATGAACACAAGCACTGAACTCCTGTGCACACATCATAGTGTCCCTAAGAGCTTTTATGGGGTCATCTCTGAAACAGGTTTGCAGTCTTCTGAAAGCATTCACAGAAACCTGTTCCTGTGTAAGATTCTGACAAGCATTTTCATACTAAATTTATATTCCCACCAATGAATACTAAGGACAGGAAAAGCAAACTTCACAGTCATCATACTGCAAACATCTTGGCTCTTCATTCTGCTGAAAAAGGAATACCCCTTCTGTAAACAGGACTATTTCCTGCGGCTGACAGTGCTTCTTTCAAGACTGAAAACTGAATCTCCTTGCTGAAGTGCAGAGCACTCCCATCAGTCTTAGCCCCTGCTGATCTCAGCTCATTTTGTTACAAATCTTTTTAAAAAAAAAATATTTTTAACTAATTTATAACCTTTAAGACTTACAGCCCAAGACATACTTACCAATCTTTGTGACAAATTCATCATAGTTCTCATCGCCTTCGTATTCGTATTTGCCTGTGAATGCCATGTTGCCCTGGTGATGTGGCTGGTGGAGCCGAATAGCAGCTGGAACAAAGAATGGATAAGTGCAGATGGCTTAAGGCCTGCGTTTTTATAGACCAGCCCAAGCTGTTCAGCCCACCTACACCCACACCCCTTGGAAATATACTTTTATGATCTATGTGAGTCACCAGCACGGATGCCATTGACCTGATGAAAATCAAGGTTATAATTCAATTATACATCCTTGACAATAATCTGGAGATCAGCAGAAATCAAGGACAAAAGTTCGGTTTTCATTTAAGTGCATAGTTAAACGAAGTGATGTACTTTTAATTTCAAGATGCCACTGATTTTGCATTCAGGATGGAAAAATGGTAAAATATGTTATAATGAAACAGGGAGAAAATGGCTTCAAAGCAGTTTGATCCTGAGATCACAGCCTTACCCTCTCTGGAAGCACACCCTGTATTAGTTAAAATATGAAAATAAGAAACAAGCTGCACAGATTCCTAAGTAATTCTGGTAGGGTATGGGCAATGACAAAATTTTGGGTAAATTACTGCACCTGCACATGTCTTACCTTATCTCCACACAGAAAAAAGAGTTATGAAATACTTTTTCACTGCTTGAATGTAAAGTACATTAGATTAGTCTGTGGTACCATGTTCCCATACCTTATTTAATATCAAGAGACAAATAGTGCTTTGTATTGTTTAGCAAGTGTTTGCACAAAGTACAAGAAATAGACTTATTTTGGAAAAGCAGAGCTCTGATTGATGTAAGATAACCATATGTTAAAAGTCAGGGAGTCTGCTGGGTAATTTAGAATGCATACAGGAGATGTCCTATGCCTAATGAATCCATTGCCACACACAGATAGCAGGGTAGGAAATTCTCAGCTGCTGTGTATTGGCATTGCTCCACTGGCTGAGGATACAGACCAACAATTTTTAATCTGAACAAAAACATTCCTAGGATTTATGTGAAAATGGTATCATAGATTGGAATTTTATTTCATTTCATTAAAGCAATAAATTTGGGAAGGAACAGAAAATAACTATTTTCCCCCCCTTTCTATAACAGTCTAGAGAAATATATGACCATGTTCAACAAGTTTTTCTGTATGCAAAGTAGGCTCTATTTCTTAAATACAATTTAATCCCATGTGCTAATGCAAGAATGCGTCTATTTAGAGTAAAGAATGATCAGAAAAAGAGCAGGAACATAGGCTGAGTGATTAAATACATGGAAAACAAAGGTCCACTAAACTTCGCCACTGCTCTCCTTGGTATAATTTCAAATAAATGTATTCTATGTAACCTAATTAACAAGCTTATCCATATTCCACTCTGTAAGAGAACGAGACAAACTTCAGTAATGGGATGAAACTTCAGTAAAGTAAATCATGGTATATCATTACTATAAAACTATACAAATTAGAAGCATTGCTACATCTAACACTTCTATTACCAATAACATTGTCTTTGAATTCACACAGTCAGTGGTCCACTCCCTCAGTCTGGGCTCTAAATACTGCATGTTGGAGAATGTTGTGTAGTTTGCAACCTGTTCTACTGAGCTGAGACCGAATGGTGCCTCCTCGCGAATCCTGCCTGCTGGGGGTCCTCTCTCCTGCAGCCACTACTGGCTCTGTCTTGACGTAGCCTCACAGATTCGGGTCTGGATGTAGATTATGTCATACCAGAAGTAAATTCAAGAGGAGCTAGAAATGAGACAGACCGTACCCAACTGTTTTGTCACAGCATACCAGTGCACACAATAAATCCTTAAATTAGTATCCGTTGGGGGAGGATAAGATTTTACTAAATGTATTTGCTATACATACGTACATACTTAATGGTATATTACTTGCCAGGGTATGTTGCAACTCAATGAAAAAAATCCTCTCTAATTTGTATTAATTCTTTATTTTACTTACTAAACTGCTTTCTCTCATGCAAAGCCTCTGCTGTCCGTAAGGTCCACAGCCTCTAAACCAAATACAGAATATGCAGGGGATACGAGGTTTGAATAAGAAAACATTTCCTGTCTTAGGAAAATTTTTGCACTTTCAGAACTTTTTCTTACAGAGAAAAAATGCAAGGGATTCCATAATAACACACTGACCAATGGGTGGAAAGCCTGAATCAGGAGAGAAGGGGATTTCTAATCAAAAAGAAAAGCTTCAGAAAATTCCGAGTCAGTTTTATGACTCATGTTTTGCTACCTCATGTTTATTAGTTGGGAGTTTATATATTATTTGTGGTTTGTTTGTTTTGTTTTTTGTGTTTTTTTTTTTAATCTACTTCCTCTTCTGAAGTCTGAGAAAAAGTAACTTCAAAATCTTACATATTCTTATGAAAGAAGACATAAAACTTTAAAATGGAGAGATGGTTTTGAATTTGATAACAATCCTTTTAAAACTATTTATTTGGGTTTCTGGCAGAAAAGCAGTTCTCTAGGACAGATGCAGAAAAGTAACAAGAGTGAAGCATAACAAAATCACGGTCAATTTGTAAAATAAAAATGGGACAAATGTCCTAGGAATTATTACCTTCCCACCCCTATCCCTTCACTCTCCCCATATTTACTCAGCTTTAAATTGTACCACGCTGTGCAGTGGCTGACTGCATTGTGCTGGAGTTCATGATGCCACAAAAGCCATACCATCTGCTGTCTGCAAGCAATTAAAAGGATGTCTCCATACTTGAAATAGAAGAGAGCCATGTACCTTCCCTCTGTGAACATTCCCCGTCTCCTCTGATTAGCATTCAAAACACAGGAGTGTGGGAGAAACGTATGAAACTGGGGGTTTCTGTATCAATTTCAAATACGTAAGATTCAGGGGAAGGAACAGAGAAACTTGTCTCGCCACCAGTGTTTCCTTTGCACTTTTGATTTACAAGTGTCTGTAAAATGATTCTAACTGTCCCGCAACCATATTCGACACTTAGTTTTTTAATTAAAATGCGTTCAGCTTAATCCCACGATTGCTGAACTCAATGACCAATTGTGCAGGAGCAGACAACTGAAAAGGAAACATCCTTTATCAGCTGGACCCAGATGCTTAGACCCTATCTATATAAAGAAAAACACCATTAGCATGGAAAACAATGAAGCAGTTGCACATACACAGAAGCCTCTGTTCTTATTGCTATGGTATTGTAAAGCTAAGTAGATACCAGTTAAGCTACAACAGTGTAAACTCCATGCCACTAATAGAGGCAAAAACTCTAGTAATTTCAGTCATCCATAGATTTGAAAATACCATTTAGACAAAAGTACAATCAAGCCTATATCATACATGAGAAAGCTGAAACACTGAGAAAAAGTGACCTATCAGAGCTTATGATATAGTGAATGGATGATGCAGCCACCAAGAAAGTCCGGGCACTAACCCCGTGTCCACAGGATGGCACATTAAACATTCTTATAATTAACAAGTCCTTAGAAACAAATAAGAGCTCTGAGCCACCATTTACCTCCAGTCACCCAAAGAGTTTTACACTTGTTTCACTGATGGGCTGTGAGAATCTTTACAGCTGTTTCGCACAACTGGCTGAGCAAGTCCCTAGGTAAGGTTCTTGCTGTCTCCATGCTGTGTCCATCCTGAATAAAACCACTGTCCATCCCCAACTGTGCTTTTGGGTAGTGGGTGCCCAGTGAGACTGCCCTCAGGTTAGCTGAGCACTGAAGGCCCTCAGGGTTCCAGAGAGACAGGCACACACCTGTGAAGAAGGTAAATGAACTCAAGCCATAAACTCTTCTGTTTACATAAGACGTATTGGGGGACAATACCACTGGTGTAGTAATACCACATGGACCTTGGAAGATCCAGATCAAACTGGATAAGAAAAACACTACAGTTCTGTGAAACAGGAAAAAGATAATCAGATTATATGAACAGCATTTCAGCTTTTATCTTCTCTCTCTCTCTATAAAGATCAAATTGTATCGATAGCTTTCCCGTGATCAGATATGAAAACGCTGACATCTACACAACTATAGAACACTGAGAGCTTGCCTACACTGGGAATGTGGTGGGCATAGGGCCAGTGTGAAGTGCAGTAAATTACCAATAAGTAACGATTTGACTGGGTGGGTCACTTGCCACACACTAAGTATGAGTTTATTCACCTCCAAGGAGTTGTACACTACGCTGTACATGAGAAATCCAGAACAGGTTCCAAACATCCATCTAAATAATAAAGGTAAGTGTTAATAAAAGTACTTGCTCTGCCTGGCTGCTCAGGGTTGGAATCAGTTTAGAACAAGTTTTGAGCAAACATGCCATCATCTGTACCTGTCTGCACAGAGGAGTTTTTAATGTGCATTGTGAATTTGCACCCACATTTCTGCTCACTTATTTTGAAAGAAATCCTTATTTTCATTCCTGCTTTTTTTTTGTTGTTGTTGTTATAAAATGTAATGAAATTCAATAGTGTATTGGAGAATGAAGAATTCCAAATACTGTGTCAGGACAATGTTTGTTCCAAGAATAAAGGAATGGAAGCCCTCTGACTTTACTGAAGTTACAGTCACTTGCAAAATTGCTAAGGTTAGTCATACGAGTCCCTATCTCTTCAGTTTCAGCTAAAACCAGTATCAATTTAATGACCTTACACTTTGCATTTACAATATTCGTGATTTTCCTGCCTCTTCAGAGCTGTGAGCATGTGATGTTGCTTTTGCATACCTCGACAGCAGTACCTCATCCTTGGTGGGCCAGTCATTGAACTAAATGGTGCAGAGAACTTCAGAACCATCCAGTAAAAAAAGAATAAATTAAAACAAAATTATGTATGTCTATATATACAGGTATTTTAAAAACATTATGTGTATCTAATCCATTCCAACTCCTACAATGTAGAGCCTGCACACCGCTGCAAGCAAGCTTGGTTATGTTATACTTCTGTTTAACAGAACTCAGTTCAAATCCAACTGAATTAACAACTATAACCAGAGATATTTCCCTGGCACAAGGTGAGAATTGTAAGAGAGAAAGTCAAAAGAATAAAAAGCTTCAGGTGTAAAAGCTGAAAACAGCTTTCAGAAAGTGGCCA